GGGGGGTCCCGGTTATTTTTGGGGGGATCCCGGGGGGCGGCCGGCGCGGGACAGAAAGGCACAAAGAGTTCAGGTACGGACGGCGGCAGCCGCCCTCACTCGGACACCGCCCCGCTCGCCGCTCGCCGCCGCCCTCGCCCCTCCCGCCCCGTCCCGGTGGTTTTTGGGGCCGCTCTGGCCCCTCCCGCCCCGTCCCGGTGGTTTTTGGGGCCGCCCTCGCCCCTCCCGCCCCGTCCCGGTGGTTTTTGGAGCCGCCCTCGCCCCTCCCGCCCCGTCCCGGTGGTTTCGGGGCCGCTCTGGCCCCTCCCGCCCCGTCCCGGTGGTTTTGGGGTCTCGCTGGCTGCGGGGCTGCAGTACCGCCCTGTGTCCACAAGGTGGCAGCACTTGTCAAGTGAGTCCGCGACAAGATGGCGGCCCGTGGGGACCTTGACGGAGAGAGGCGTTTTTGCCGATGCCTGTCGGCTCCCGCCAAAAACCCGCACGCTCGCGGCGCTGCTGACCCCACAGCCCGTGTGCACGACACCGGAACCGCCGCGGAAAATCCCGTCGCGGGGCGCCGGCGGTGCGGGCAATTCAGGCAGTGTGAAAAACAGACACGGGTCCTCGAATTTCAACGTCCTCGTTTTCGCGCCCTCTCGAGAAGGTCAAGCGAGTCCGCGCCAAGCCCCTCCCAAGATGGCGGCCGCGGGCGGCGGGCTGCAGTGCCGCTCTCTGCCCACACGGCGGCAGCACTGCGCCGTCAGCAGCGAATGCCCCAAAGATCCGCGCGGGAAAGAACGGAACAAAAACCCTGCCTCTGACCCGATAGGAAGCGAAAGAAAAAACCTTTCCTCTTAAACTGCATTTCAACAGAGTTTATTTTTATATTTTTCACATTTATATTCAAATTTACATTTTAAATGTAGATTGATGTGTGGTGTTATTTATAGTCTATCTCTTCCTAATACTTATTTTTATTTCTATTTTATATTTTTATATATATCTGTATACATTGAATATATATATTTCCATATTTAGAACGATATCAAAATAAAATGTATATTCAAATTTTTTCCATTAAAGCCCTGCCTCTAACCAAATAAAAACAACAAAAAAAGCCCCTTCTATAAATGATACTCGAATATTTATATATTTTTTCATCATTATAGTCACATTTGCATTTCTGCTTTATATTGATGTCTTTACAAATGTATATATAATTTTTTACTTAAATTCTATTTTGTACATACTGCTAATACTTATATTTACTCACCTTTGAATTTTTATATAGATCTTAACGTATATAGGATATATTTCTATACAAAGATTTCTAATTCTATTTTATTTTTATTCATAATTTTTATAATAAAACCCCTACCTACTACCAAATAGAAAATAAAATCCCCTTTATTTTAAACTATATTTAAATATTTCTTTATTTCTATTATTGTTTTTTACAAGTACTTATATATTCTATCACAATATATCGAAGTACTATATTTTGATATATAATATTTATGACGTGTAATGTGTTGTAATAAGACATATACAGTAAAATATGCATTATGTACTATATTGATTCCTATTATTTTGTAATTTTTATATTTATATATCCACATGTATTAATGATACATCTCTATATGGATATTTAATTATATAATTATATAATTATATCTATATGGATATTTTATTATATAAGTCCTGTCCCAGCGGGAGGCTTCCGGTGTGGTCTCGCTGTCAGGCTTGCTGTGCTGTGCTGCTGTTGTTGGGGTGAAAAGGGAAAAGGCTGCTTAGGGTGAGGTTAGGGCTGGGTGAGGGGTGCTGCACCTGTACCCTAACTTGCCTCCTAAGTTGTACCCTGTAGCCCTGATCCCCACTGGACTGTCCAGCCCTCAGACCCTCTCCCTTCACCCCTGACCCCTCCCTCAGCCCCCCAGCCCTCAGGCTCTGGCTGTCACCCTCGAACCCCCCCCTGCCCCTCAAGCCCCCTCTCCTCTGCCCCTCAGCTCCTGTGTGCCACCCTTAATCCCTCTCCTCTGCCCCTCAGCTCCTGTGTGCCACCCTTAATCCCTCTCAGCTGCCCCTCAGCTCCTGTGTGCCACCCGTAATCCCTCTCCTCTGCCCCTCAGCTCCTGTGTGCCACCCTTAATCCCTCTCCTCTGCCCCTCAGCCCCCAGCTTCTCTGTGTCACCCTCCAGCTGCCCCTGCCCCCCTCAGCATCTCTCTGTGTCACCCACTGTCCCCTCCCCTGTTCCTCCCTCAGCTCCCAGCCTCTGTCACCCTCAAGCCCCCACAGTGCCCCTCAAGCTGCCCCTCAGCCGCGATGCCATGAAAAGACCCTAAAAACCCATAAAAATGCCCTAAAAACCCCCTCAACTTCAAAATGTCTTAAAACCCCCACAAAAACATAAAAATAGCCTCAGAATGCCCTTAAAATACAACAAAAATACCCTACTTTAAAACACCCCTAAAAATCCCCAAAGAACCTTTAAAAAAAAATCCCTAAATATTCCTAGAAGAGCTCTAAAATAGCCCCAAAATCCTTAAAACACACTGCTAAGACCCTAAAAAACCATAAAACTTCCCTCAAAAAACCTAAAAATACCCTAGTCCTAGGAGTCCTCCACATACCCCCAAGAGTCCTAAAAAAGCCCTAAAAATTTTTAAATAATCCTAAAAAAGCCCCAAGAACACCCCCAAAAAAACTCTAAAAATTCTAATTAGTACAAAAAGAGCCCTTAAAATACCTTAAAAAATCTTTTCTAAGCCCTGAAAAAGCCCAGAAGTATCCTAAACGTTCCCAGAAAGTTCCTAAAAAGCTCCTGTGAGAAAAACCCTCAAATATCTTTTAAAAGCCCTAAAAAAAAAAAAAAAAAAAACTTAAAAACTGCTCAGTCCCCAACCTCTACCAGTTGCTCTCTAGCCAGCAAACATCATCCCTACCTTTTAATTAGAGTCACTGCCTATATAAAGACAAGGAAATCTACAGGTTTTTATATTTGTCAGTTTTGCATGAGAGACATTTAGGGAAGTGATGCAAAGCTTCTAGCCTCTGTGAAAAACATGTCTTAAAATAAACCTGGGAACTTCCTCTTTCCTTCGGACCTGGAAACAGATAAGAACGTGGGTGCAGCCCCTGTCTCACATGGGCTGGGCCCCAGCAGCTGCCAGTCAGGGAGCAGGAGAAACTACAAAAATCCTAATCAAAACAAAACCAAACTACAGCTATTAACATCTTACCACAAAATGCCCTCCCCGCAACAACTACCACACAAAATCATACAACTAAAATAAAAAACAACCCTACAACCCACACAAAATAACCATACAACTAAAATTAAACACAAATAAAACCCCAAAAATGAACCGTACAACTAATCCTAACGCAACCCAACCACAATTCCCACCGCAAACACCATCTACAAAGCCCACAGTATTACCTTTTTCAATACTTCAATCCTCCCTCAAATAAAAATCAAAATACAAATATATTAAAAAAATATAAAAAAATCAAATCAACAAAAAATTAAATCCAACAAACCAAACAAACCAAAACCACTACAGTATTTTTGAACAAACACACCCCCTAAACTCCCAAGCATTTTTGGGCTGTAACCTCCCTTTTTTTGGGAGGACCCCACCTAAACCCTCTCATACCATACTCACCTTCTCCTCCACTCCAGGTATTTTTCTTATGTGCCAGCCCAGAGTAAAGGAACCTTGATTTACCCCCTCATATTTAAATGTTTTGGGGTGTTACAGACAGTTGCATGGGTATACAGTTTGCCATCATTTCAGTGGGAGAATTCAGGGGAGACAAGGACAGGTTGAAGGGAAATTCACAGCACTACACCAGGTATGAAGTCAGACTCAGGTTTTGATTTTCATGTGGTTTAATAAATTAACAGATTCAGCCATTACACAGCAATAGAATTCTTCTTCGATATTTACAAAGGTGCAAGAACTTCATTTAGTCATATGTAGTTTTATTTTCATTTTCAGTCACACAGCTCCAATTCTTTCCCACCTGAACAATGTGGGGTTAAAATAATCCACCCAAAGAGAAAGCATCAAAGTACAAAAGAGCACATACAAGGAGGGGTGTTAATTCAAATTCCGTGTGGGTATTTGGTCCAGTACCTTATAAAGCAAGGGAAGGTGATGTGGAGCAGTCACACCTGTAGAAGGAGCTGCAATATCACAAGCACACCTTTGCCAGAAGTTTGACCACCGCTGGGACTGTTACTCTACCCTGAGACTCACCATGACCTTGCAGTAGGGGAGGAGGGATGGAGAGAACAATGCAAAAAGACCACAAACAACAATGCTCCAAACACTCAAGCATCTCCACAGCTACTCATAAATTACTTCTCTGTGGGTTTAGCGAACAATGACCCAAGAGAAGCTATAGCATTGCTTGCTAAAGCTAAAATATTTTACAAAAACATTTGCCATACACCCAGTTCTAGTCTAAAAATAGCACCTGCCTGTTTGAAGAACTTTTAATCACATTCGCCTTCACTGAACTTGCTCCCCACCCAGGTAGTCTCCCCTCGCCCTTCCCCATTTGAGTCAAGTTGCCTAAAACCCCACCCTCAACGGCGTAAGCTGCACAAGGGTGCTTGCAGGGGCAGGAATCGGACTTGCTTGCTCAGGTCTGCCCCCACAGAAGTCTGTGCAAGAAATGGATATGAATGCCACGGAAGCTGGTACAGCCACTCTCCTGCCCCATCTGTCGGCACTGTCATCCTCAGTCACTCGCACCGTTACCAGTACAGGCATTTGCAGAGTATGCTTTAATTATAAGCACGTGCAAATACACATCCGTGCACCCAATTCATCTGGCCTCGGACATCCACCATGCTAAATCCTATGGCACCCTCAGAACACTGAGGTTTTGAGGTTCCCTTCATTTTTTCCTGTGTCTGTTTTCCACTGACTCAAGAGGGTATCTCTCATGGGCCAATACTGAGGACTCTGTGGATGACAGGACTCCTAAAGCCTTGCCTAAACATAGGGAGAAGAGCCAGACAGAAATATACTTACAAGCATTGTTACTTTCAGAGAGCTTTCAGAGAGCGTAAATCCATTTTCTTTGGAAAAGTAAAAATACACAGGTAAATTCTAGTAAATCTGTTCAGCCAAAATAGGAAACTAACGAACAAAGCAAACAAAACCTACAAACAAACAAGAAACCCCCAACAAACCAGAAACCCCTCCAAGCAAACCAAAACAAACAAAACCCCAAAATAATCTCAACACAATGCCTACTTCGGCTTCATGTACAAGTCACTGTTCTGCTTGTGCAGCCAGTAGCAAAACAGCATCTGGAAAGCAGGCCCACATATGCAGGTTGAAGCCTCCATGCATTCAAGCCCACTGCTCTGCTGTTCCTCTTCCATCATATACTTGGTCAAGTACCAATTTCACAAGGTGCAAATAGCAAGCCTACCCTGAGACAACAATCTGCCAACTGCAGATCACGTAAGCTTAAAAATTTTGATGGTGGCCAGTGCCATTCATGGGGTTGCTCTGTGATCCCAAGCATTATGAAATGCCACAGAGCCCACAGCAGCACCGAGGCAAGGGCACAGGTATCTGGAAAAAGTTAAACAGTGAAAATAAATTTCAAATAGCATTTTTTCTGTTCTAAAGCCAGAAACAGAAGTGGGGATTAAATACAAAAGAGGTTTCTTAAAGCAGCCATTTTGTGGGGGCAAATTCCCAGGGACTTTGTCTTTGCACCTTCTGTAGAACAAAACTCTGTGTGACCTTCTCTTACCATCTGAGAAGATTAGGATAGACAACTTGTTTCTCACACCAATAATCACACCTCCACCACGAGGCCAATTCATTACTATTCATGCCTTTGAGAAGCCAGGAAGAGCCACCCGTGCTTTAACAGTCAGGACTAACAAAACCAGCACCTACTGCCTGGGGGATGAAAACATCTCTTTGGGCCAGAAAGAGTGTCTTGTAAAGATAAGAAGTGGAAAGAGCAACACATTTAATGAGGAGAGTATAAGAACTAAAAAATTTCCAATGCACACAGCAGATCCATGCTCTGCTATCCCTCTGCTCCTCAAACAACAACCCTGAAAAAGTCTGCACTTACAGAGAATATTCAAAAGATCATAAAAGGTTACAATACCACTCCTATATTGTACAACTTTGAGAAGGAACAAAATGTCAAAAAATGCATCTCCTCTAGGAAACACAAGCAGATGTAGGACCTAATATTTGGGGATACACTCTGCCAGCACTTGACAACATCCCTTTCCTTTGCAAGCTGTCTAACCAGACACTGTTTTGCAGCACAATTTACTCCCAGTGGTAAAAAACACTGCTAAAAATTCAAGGGAAGATATGCCCCTACTGGCATGCTTCCCATGTACCACTCACTTTGCTAAACACAGTGCAGCCATCATCCACCACCACAAGTCCAAAATCAAAAACCATACCTCCACTGCAAGTCACTGGCAGGCATAGCCTGGAGCAACAAACCAGGAATAAAACAGGACAGCCACAGACATATGACAGTAACTGCCAATTTAACACAGCTAGAAAGGTGAGTGAGTAACTTGAGCTTCTGTTTTACTTCCTTTCCTATCACCTCCTCCTACAAGCCAGACCAAAATATGCTGGTCAAGAATCTAGGTGTGTTTGTCAAACAGAAACCTTGTCTTTTCTGCCTCCAGTCTACAGTGACAAGGACAACACTGCCTAGCCCTCACAGTCCTCACTGTGTACGTGAGCCTCGGATCCCTGATTCTATATAACAGTGACCCTCGATGTTCACCTCCAGCCACTCTACACCAAGACAACTCAAGCTCTCACAGTTTAAAGAACACGGGACTATCAAATGAAACTCACGGCAGAGCCTTTATTAACCCACAACTGAAGAGCCACAGGCTCTTCCACTCACACCAGCATTTCTAGTGCAAGGCTTCAGTCTCCTACCAGAGAAGTGGTGCTATCTGGGTTCAAATCTTCAAGGTTTAGTACCTTGAAATGGTTTTCAAATGAATAAATAAAATCAAAACATGAACATAAAGTACTGTTGTAGCTACAAGTCATAGAGGGGATGGTGCAACAGAGAGTAACAAATTGAAACCAAACTCTGAGACTTTGGGAACAAGGGTGTGTCACACCGGATGCAACAGCACTGCACCGCACCAACCCAGCAAAAGGTGATGTAAAACCAGTGGTTGGATTGTTATAGGCAAGCTACAGATGGCCAAATTCTAATGGCACTGTAGTGCAAACCAGTTACTCACATCGAGGAAAATTATTCTCAGCGAGTTCTCTGACATCCGTAGTACATGGAAGTGCAAACAAAGCCACAGTGCTGTGCAGACAAGGAACAAAGAAACGAAGGATCAAAGACACGACAGAACTTGGGGATGACAAAGACTCCCAGACCAAAACAGATGTAGAGGTTCCTGGTCAGCCAGCTGAACCAATATGATTTCTCAGATTCATACATGCCCAATCATGTGAGGAATGAGCAGGAAAAAGAGCCAAAAGTCCCTCCTTGCTAGCACACACAGGCACTTTCAATTACAGCCCTTGGTAACTCTGGCCTTCCCCACCTGTACAAATTCGCAAGCAACAGCCACCTGTAAATCCTTTTCCTGCAGCACACTGAACACGTTCTGGTCCTTGGAAACGGCACATGGCAGCAGTATCAGCAAGTCAGGGTTTGTCCTTCCAAGAAACACATTTTACCTGCACCATCAAGAGAACTGCTTTTTCAGTTGGCAGCATCCTGTACAAGGAAGGTCAACAGACACTACCACAGGAGATACTCTGATGGAAGAGCACAGCTAGAGAATCCAGTCAGGCCTGGGAAATAGCTCTTCTGTGAGGATTTTCCTCCCCTCTGTCCCACTGCCTTAACAACCCACAGGAAAGCAGTAGGTTTCGCTCAAACCAGGGATGTTGACAGGGCATGAGCGTTTCTCCAAAGAGCATTGTTATGTGCTATCTGAAGGGAACTTCTGGGGATATTATAGATAAAATGTGTATGGGCCAGGAGACTGGACAACTGTTTCTCTAGAAGGACTGTCTCCTCCTGCACAGGGATTTTATCTTCCCCCACACCTCTCTCCCTCTCTGCAAATACCTGCTGCAGAAATACCCTGTTTGAACAGGGGGGACCGTATTTGCAAGAAGAAAGGAAATACCAAGTACAATCCAGAAAGATTCCCTGTACTAAAGGAAACCCATCAGTGACAACATGTAAACTCTTTCCTCTTTTGCCATGTGCCTTCAGCCTCTCCATTAGACTGCCCTTGACTATATTCCTTATCTTATTCCTTGCCATCCACCCCCAGCACGGTGCCAGTCCTTGGCACGAGAACCATGACAGCATGAGACTGGACACTCGGCAGGTCTGGGAGACAACCTGGCAGCCCTTTGGCAACATCCCCAAGCACCCCCAAGAGTAAGGGATCTGCTCATACAATAGCTGGTGTGTGCATTCAATACAGGCTCTTCCCTGTTCAAGAACACAGATGTGGAAGGAGCATTGTGTCACACGTGGCTGCACAGGGTGGCAGAACCAACAACTCTGAGCAGGCATTCTTGTGAGGGTGAGGGCTTCTACAAAAACTTATGCAGCGGTTAAAACTTCCTTCTTCTTAGAGACTTCTTCCTTCACCAACAGAGCACAGAAAACAGGGGTTCCTCAGAGCTGTCTGAACCAGAGACTGTTCCAATGACAGAGCCAGCTGGAGGATCACAACTCTGACAGCTGTCTCCTGAGAGCTCACAGCCTAGGAACACATCACCCTGCAGCACACCTCAAGTGACAGCCTCTGCACTGAGCACAAGCGATAGTAGTGTTTAGATCATCAGTGACTGCATCATCCTCTGTCACTAAAAGAGCTCAATGAGGCTACATCCCACACTTCTCAGCATGGTAGCTAACCCAGTAGTTGTAGTTTCTGGATTTTAACTCTGAAGGTTGCCACTTGAGAGACCTGCCCCGTTTCCATGAGGCACCTGAAGACACACACAGAGTCATTTCTGCAGTTCCTGGAACCCCCAGGGGGATTAGCATGCCACCTGGATTTTCTGGGAGAGCATGGTGGGGTGCAACAAGCAGAGAAGGCTAAGCCGAGGCAGCCAAACAGCCCAAGTCCCAGGTTTGCTACCTCCACTCCCCAAACAGCATAAAGCACTGGGGTGTCTTCCCTCAGCCAAGGTTGGAAAGAACTGGACTGCAAGTCACAGATACCATGGAGTGGGAAGACAAGAGACTAGAAAACGATCTCTGAGAAATCTTTCCATGGGCTTCTCCCTCCTTCAGTTCGCACCAGCTGATGTGTTGTCACTACCTTTAGATTTGGATTTAGACTTGAAGGAGAAGCGTTTGATGAGGCGGTGAGAGAAGCTACCAGTTTTCTTTCTGGTGGTGGAGTTGGCAGTGACATTGGACAAGTCATCGTGTGACTGGCTCAGGCCCGCTTCCTTCTGCTTGCTCCTTCTCCGGAAGATGAGCTTGGTACCACTTCGAAGAAAGCTAACTGCAGAGACAGGAAGGAGACAGTAACCATGATAGCATCCTGCACTGGCAAGTTTCAGAGACAGTAACACACTCGGCCGTTCTCGGATATGCAGCTGTCCTCAATAGCAGAAGTGCACAGTGGGTCAGCTAATCCCAGCTTCCAAACACAAAGCACAGTCTCAGTTTGTGACAGACTGCAACACCAACAAACACTTCCTCACGAAACATTCTGTCCCATCTCCCCTCTACATAAACTTCCTTTTACACAATATCCTCCTCACAGTGGAAGTGTGCAGCATTTCAAATGAAAACCAACGCTCGTATGAATGGAAAACAAGTGAGATCATCTGAACCTGAAGACCCTGAAGGAACATACAAGATGGAAAAGGCCTCTGAGACCAGCCTGTCTCAAGGGCACAGGGATTAACTTTGTCAGCTAGTGCCTGGAACAACTGCCCACGTTTTCATGATGTGCCCAGTCTGGAGGCAAATAATGCCAACGCATCCTTATGACTACCACAAGCAGGAGAAAGTGGAGATGACAATTGCTTTCAACCTCAAATGGATCAGAAAGACACATCCAAAACCTGCATGCCATATAACACTACAAGAGTATTTCCTACAGAGGGGGTTTGCTTTCCATTTTCCCTCTCTTCCCCAACCGCCAGCCCTCTTGGGAATCGGGGTCGCACACCCTTCTACCCACTGACATTGAAAAAAGGGGCCTCTGCAGCTCAAAGCATACCTAGTTGCAACTAGGATATGGTTTGAGTACAACTCCCTAAAATTTGTCCCACTCTGAGTAATCAAGATTTTGATTTGCATTTCTTTACGTAAGTCGGTAGCAGAAAAATCCAAGGTGCACCATCCACCTAACAAATGTGCAGAAAGGCCAGGACAGCAGCTAGGTTCGGGCAGCCCACTCCATCATTTAAAATAAGTGAGTTTGTGTGGATATCTTACATTACAACAGGTTAGAGGCACTAGCTGCATCGATACTAACAGAGAAAGGAGGGCAATCAAGGCCCATACAATCCATACTGTTGGGCAGCCTCCATGTCCACACCACAGGTGGCCAAATTCAGAGGATTAATCATTATTTACGGACATGCACCTGATCTGTGGACCTGGAGACCAGGGAGAGATAAGGGTTCTCTATAATACACAGGCTGCACAGGGTTCCCATCTAAGAGAGCACAGAAACTTGAAAGGCTACAGGAATCAGACACCTACAAATGAAGGTCTTTCAAGTCACTCCAGTGGAAAAACAAGCCAGGAGCTCTTCCTGGCTCCATCAGAAGCTGCTCTTTGCTATGCTGAAAGGTGGCTGCAGACCTCATGCTTGGGTGGGGAACCTGGATGTCACTTTGTCCTCATGTACTGCCAATGTTATGGGCTCACGTTAGCTATCCTACCTAACAGTTCATCCTTACCTTTGTGATCTTTTAAGCTCCTTGTCTCAAGGGCTCCCGTGGAGCCAGTTTCAGACTCAACATCTTCCACGGATGGTCTTTCAGAGATGTCTGATCGCGTTGTCTCATCCAGCTCCTGACTGTCCCTTTGACCCAACGGCGATGGTTCCAGCGGCCGCGACAATTTGGTAAAATCGTGCATCTGGTCAGCTGAGCTCTCTGCCTCAGAGTCCCCATACGCTGTGGCCTCCAGTGATGCAGCATAACCAAGAGAAAGTGCCATTTCATCTTGAGCAATAGGTACCTGAAGGGGGGTTAGAGGGGCAGACAGACATGAACACAGGATCAAAAGAACTACATTCATCTGCCTACTTTCATCTACACCTACATATGGGTGGCCCAGTTCAGATTATACGTGCTAGACAGCACCCCAATGGACAATTGTCTCTCTTCAGCTGAAGTATACTGGAATGTGGCCAATTACAAAGCATTCTGCTGCACATTCCTCACTCCCAAAGCAAAGTTTAAGGAGAACTCCTTATATTCTCCACAAGGTTCAAAACCAGTTATGGCAGCCAGATCCCTTTCTGCAGCTGCCCATTGTGAATTCCCACTGCCAGCTGCCCCGCAGACTGTCAAGGAACCTTTTAATGCTCCCTGGGAAGCAGCAAAAGGCTTCTGATGAGCCAGTCATCCATGCTGGAACCTTCCCACACCAGTCCCTGCAGGACACATTAGTTTCACACATGCATCCCTAGAAACAACCTCCCAAACTGGAAATTCAAGCTCCTAACTACCAGAGACCTTGGACACTCCTGAGATGATCAGTGTACTACGTTTTGTTGGTGTCTTCTTGGTGGTCTTGTTATTCGTCTCAGTTAGCTGCCTGATTGCCGTCTCAGCCACCGGATCCAAGCCATTGGGCAAATGGCTATCCCCTGAGCACAAGAAAAATACCGATGCTTGGAGAAGCAACCTTCAGCAGGAGGCAAAAAGTCACTCGCTGACCACAATGCTTGCAATAGGCAACTTACATGCACATGAATGTACTTTCCCCACCCACAGTCTATGACAGAGTTGTCCAAATAAACAAAATGAAGGAAGCTCTAAAATACACCCCCTCCCCCAACAAAGATTTCCAAAGACTCCCAATAGTTTGCTTTGGCAGCAAACTGTCAAAACAGCTGCAATGCTCTGTTCTAGACAAAATCAGAGCCCCAAGTGCAGGGTGACCAAAGTTGTTTGGGTCTGGATAGCCTGGAAAGTTCTTGTCAAGCAAGGAAACACTCACAGTCACTGACTGGATAATCAGAGGGGAATGCCTTTTACCCACCAGCCTTCTGCCCCCACCTTCACCCAGGCACTTGGACATTCCCTAAAGCAGAACATGCAAGCAAGTTCAGGGAACCCACTCAAGACTGCCACTTTCTAAAACAGGCTAAGGAACACAGTTACTTCAGTAAGAGCCTCAAATTTCCAAGCACTTACGGCTACTGCTGGGCAAGTGGCCATAAGGACAGCCGGTCTCCAAGAGCACTGTTGTCTTCTTTTCAGTCACTTCCACTTTGGAAGGTGACCTTGATGGTGAGTCTTCACAGCAAAAGAGACACCAAGGTACCAGTAAATAGAGACAAAGCTTACACTACTATGCTATAATACTGTACCTCCTACACACAACCCCAAAAAGCCCCAAGCGAGCATTCGGAGAGCCAACAAGGCAGGGCAGGTCTGTAAGGCTTTGTGGCAACAAAGCAGTAAGAAGCCTACTGGGAAAAAGTCAGAATCACTGATTGGTTTGGGTTGGAAGGGACCTTAAAGACCACTTAGTTCCAACCAGACTGCCATTAGACCAGGTTGCTCCAAGCACCATTCAGCCTGGTCTTGAACACTTCCACAGATGGGGCAGCTACAGCTTTCCTGGGCAACCTGTGCCAGAAACTCAGCACCCTCAGAGGGAAAAACTTCTTCCTAATGGCTAATATAAATCTATCCTCCTTCATCTTAGAGCCATTGCCCCTTGCCTTATAACTACGTGCCCTTGTAAAAAAAATCACTCTTCAGCCTTCTTGTAAGCTTCCTTTTAGGTACTGGAAGGCACTTGCTGTAATGTCTCCCCAAAGCCTTCTCTTCCTTGGCCTAAACAGCTCCAACTCTCTCAGCCTTTCTTCACAGGGAGGTGTTCCAGGTATGTGACCAACTTAGTGGTCCTCCTCTGGACTCACTCCAGCAGGTCCATGTCTTTCATGTGTTGGGGGACCACAAGGCCGGACACAGTACTCAAGGTGGAGTCTCACAAGAGCAAAGCAGAGGGGGAGAATCACCTCTCTCAACCTGCTGGCCACGCCTCTTTTGATGCAGCCCAGGATATATTTTGATTCAGCCAGGTTGCCTTTCTGGGCTGCAGTCCTGTGAAGCAGACACACAGCAATACCTCATTCACGTCATTTCCCAGCCCCACCTCTTGGAATATCCAGTACCACATGCACCAGGATGCCAGACCGCAACAAGCAACAACCCCTAGTAAGCCAGGTCAACATGCTTTTGGCTCCACAACCAGTATGTTCAGCATAACTTCTTTAGCAGTGAAGAAACTAGAGAAAGCATGGCTAAACACTTAGCCTGACATCACACAGAGGTTATGTGGCAGCATATGCATTAGACCTCCTGCCACCAAAAGGGCGCTTGAAAGGCTCATCCTTCCCTCACCTCCCCCAGACACAGAACTGCAACTCTCTCCCCTAGGGCTACAAGAGTTTCCAGCCAGCCATGAAGATGCTAGGGGAACAGCATGGATGGCTGTGTTCTGACCCACACACCAAAAGCAATACGTAAAGCATGAGCCTGCAATAACCAGGTGTGATGGTTAAATGGTTTTGCTACTGCCTTCATGAGCAGCCATGGGAATACTGCAGCTAAGCCTGTGCTGCCGTAGTAGCCACCTGAGCAATACATCTGCTGCTGTGCAGCCTCACCCAGTTTGCAGTCTGCCTTGGGCCGGGACTGAATTGTGGTGACAGTAGTCACAATGGTGCCGTCAGGCATGATGGTCCGGTCCATCTCCACCTTCTTAGTGGGGGTGATGCTGGTTCGCAGAGATGTGGCATGTGGAGCATTCAAAGATGCAGAAGACTCCTGGAACAGCAGCTATAAACAGTAAAGCACTGATCAGAAAGGCACTCTTCTTCCCAGATGGAAAGGCAGACATGACTGGGCAACAGAAGCTACAGCTCTGGGCACCAAGGAGCCATCCCCAGTCCAGTATCAGTTCAACAGTGGGAGGCTCAGGGACTGAGGCTCAGGTGACATCCAACTCTTCATGGCACAAGGGTCTGCTAGCCCTCTGTGCCAAGCTCAGGACCAAACACGCATGTCTCCGGCTAGAGACTCACATTATGAACTCTTCAGAGCATGCATGCATGCAGAGCTTGTGGGGTCACAAGCTCACCTCCAATGTAATGGTAGCTTCAGGTGTCAGTGACTGTCCAGCTCCCGGGGCCAGTGAGCAGACCTGTCTCCCAGAGGGCTGCTTCCCCAAAGAATCTATCAAAAGTGTGGCATATGCCAGCAGCACATCTGCATGAAGGAAGAGCAAAAATGAAACACTTCACATGACCTCAGCACCTCAGACATCTCCAAGGTAATCCCTGCTTTTGGGAAGCAGCACAATGGGCCAACACAGCAAATCACCACAACTCCACTAACTCCCAGGTTCAAGAGGGAGAAGCGGAAAGCAATGCTCCTCTTTAACAATTTAGGAATCAACTTCCTTAAAAATGTGACCACTGTGTGGCCTCCATCAAAAATAGATGCTGTAGTTAGTCCCCGACTGAGTACAAAAACACAGTTAAGAGCCTTATGCAAAGCTCTCCTAATACAGGAGGCAAAATCCTGCATGCTTCTCCCTGCTTCAGAATGCAGACAGGCAGGCCACAGGAACATCCCGATTCAAGGTCAGACCCAGACCGTTTTGGCAAGAAGAACAGAACGAGTAACTTCACAGAGTCACAGAAACTCACATAAAGCTAAATGTGAAAAATCCTTTGCAGAAGTCATCACACGTTGTACCAACAGAGAACCAGCATGAGTTTAAAGCATAGTGAGTCCCTTAGGCATTTTTGCCTCCCAGTCTTAAAACCCATCTTATGGCTATTCGTACTCACTTCCCCCTCTGTTGCTGCTCCCCAGTACCTGTAGTTTCAGTTCTTTGCTTCTAGGTCCCAATTCCCTGTTGAAACCAAAGACAGGTTGGTGTTATGCAATCTTAAGTGGCCATGGACCAAACAACCTCATTCTGTATCTCCCCTCCCTCAAATCCCACATGCGTCATCACCTTCTCCAAAGTTTCTGTAGCATGCACTACCGTGGAGGACATGACTGGAGCACCAAACTACACAAATGAGAACTCTGGTTTGTGTACCCTACCCTGCAGAACTGTGTAAGGTGACAGTGGAAGTTGAGAGGGCAATCCCTCTGGAAGGCTGTTTATGCTATAGCCCTATTGCACCTGCTGCGCCTACAATCAGCATTTCTGCCACCCAGTTAAAACACATAGTGTCCAGAGAAGTGAGAAATACGTATGCAAGCTGGGGCCAAATGTTGGAATCAGCGGTCCAACACAGGGGCAGCATAAACAGACGTTGCCTTGTGGCGCAGACTTCACCTCTGCACCATGCACATCACATACTGCACCATGGTAATGATGCCCAGAGACCGTGTCAGTCCACTTACACTGTGCCAGCCAGAAGGAGAGCAGACACTTACAGAAAGAACTCGTCGTTCCACTCCATCTCTCCTGCAGCACCAAAACTGCTACCTATCATTGGCCTCGTCCACTTCTGCTGCGGGGGGCTGTCTAGCTCTGCCACGCAGCGTATCTCCCCAACTCCTGCAAGAGACACAGAGGGCACATGTGCACTCGTCAACAAGAGGCAGTGGTTCATCACACACACGAGGGGCGTCCCCTCTTTTCCATTCAAACCCACCCAAAACATCCACTCGCTCCAATCTCGCCACCTGCACACTTGCCCCTGTGGATTAGCAATGTTTTCACGCTTACCTCCCTTCCCCTGGCAGCCCAAGTTCAGCACTCGAAGATTCCGGAGCAACAGCTTAGAACCCAGAGGGGCTGCTGCTACTCCAGACGGGGACTCTCGAGTCACCTTATTGCTGGGTACCTGAGGAATGACGAGAGCGAGACCGACACCTTTATCGTTCCCTCGCCACCAGACAGCAACAAGACACATTGTCCTTGTATCCATTAAATAGCTCCCCACATCAACACAGGGAAATACCTGCAAAGCCATCAAGAGATGCTGCAGGTTTCCAAGGCTATTGACCTCCAGTGGGCCCTTGTGTTTTTTCAGATGGGAAGTTTAAGGCAGACAGAGAAGGAGACAGGCAAGAACAAGCTTGCTGGCTACCAGACAGTCAACTACATGGGCCATTACATGTCTGCAAAGGCTGCCTGGGACAGAGGCTTGGTGTTCAGAGCAAGGGTGACTGCCAAAAGAGAGATGTACCTCAGGCAGTCTAGCTCCACAAGTACATGACCAACTATCAGCATTCAAGAAAAAAGAGTATTTGGAAAGGAATTGCCCTTGAGAGCAATTTCTAATTATCCCTATGCACCATGTCACAGTACCCAAACTCCTACGACCAGGCCAGTGCAGGCCAGGATTTGGCTGTTGCCCAGAAGCAAAACTCAAGCCTTGGATTCCTGCCTGAGCTTCAGCCCTCAGAAGTGTCTTGGGCCCTGTGTTTGAGGCACAAGAATGACACAAAAAGAGTGACTTACCACACTGGCTCTAGAGGTACAGGCCAGCAAATTCACCATCATGGCCGGCTTCGTGCTGACAATGGTATCCTCTATCAGATCCTTTATAGTGGACAGATCTGCTCTCCCTTCATCCTTCTCTCCATAAATCAAGAGAAAATGCAAGAACGTCATAAAAAGACAGACACATTTACAGCTCCATCTGCCTCTCAAGCCTCTAATATGCCACACGGTCATTCTCCCAGTAATAACCTCCCAAATACTCTTCCCATATTCCATGCTCGCCCTCCTCAGAGCTTAAAGCTTCTGTGTAGCAGCTGCAGGCAAACACAAGCTTTCTAAATGAGGCAAATTAAGCCTCTACTTCTTATCACTTATTACTTCTTACACCAGCTTATCTGGTGTAAATTTTGACAATAAAGACTTTCTAGTTTGTCATATGCTCACCACCTCAAGAGGTGGTGCCACCACTCTTTTGGGAAAACAGCTGAATTCCTATAACTACTCAGGATAAAGTTAACAAAGGTAACAACCAATCAACCAACCCATTTGGATCACGGAAGTGCAAGCACACCCACATTCTGTTTATGAAACTGCTAACCCAGGGATTCCCCACATTAATCTCTTAAATCTTAATGAATCCCTCCAAAAAAACCAACCAAATTTAACCAACACAACAACAAACACCACACAAAGAAAGCGGCAACCCAGCTCTACCTCTGACAACAGCAGAAGGAACCTATATAGACTGAAAGCCTTCAACAGATACTGGTGCCACTTAAGCCCTCTTGAGGATGCTGCTTTGACACAGTTGAGCTAGTACCGATTCCAGGATGAAAGAATCCCCTCCACTGCCCTAAAGGGCCATGGCAGTGAGTTGCCAACCCTTCTCCTCCGCAGCAGCCTTCCTTCTAGCTGTTTCTGCTCCTTCCTCCCCTCACAGTCAGCCTACCATTGTTAGTCACTCACCTCAGGAAGCCCAAGTCGTGGAAGAACAAAAAGGTCCAAGTCTGGTCTGTCTTTGAATGTCCATGACACCAGGAGACCCTCATTCTGTATCTCCTCCAAGTGGATCTCCACCTGGCCCAGAACGAATATCCACAGTCGGAAACAGTTTCTGCTTACATCAGGTGATTTTTGCCCCATTCCAAATTCAGCAATTGAAAGGCCCTCACATCAGCACAATGGTAAAAAACAGAACATAAAAATGCAAGTGCTCCCAGGACTACAGAATAAAGCAGCTGCAGAAGTTCCATAGCAAGATCTGGCTTCCTCACTGCGGTTGGATGCCCCAGGCACCACCAGAGGGAAAAATGATCCATTTTTTCTTTTACTAAAGAAAAAGCCTGGAGAGTACAATCCAAAAGTGGCCAACTGGGCACCAATACATAGGATATTTACTGAGTTACATCACTTAGACATTGCCAAATGCAAGCACAACCATTTATAAGTTAACAATGCATCTCTAGGAGATGACCCTAGGGTTAAAGACCTACCTAGATCCCCAACAGTCTACAACAACAAAACGAACTATACACCGTCCTGTAGTTTAGCTGAAGTTAAAAAGTTGCACACCCATGTACTCATAAAAGCATCGTTAATGTGACAGGCAGAGACAGAACCACACAGGAATGGAACGGAACTGACCTGAGTGCTCTAGTAAAAACTAGGCAATGAAATTCAATATACTTCTCAATTGCCAGGTTGACATTTACTGGCAACAGAGAAGGTCATTGGACAAAAGCAACAGATATGAGACACAGTGTCCATGTAAGTAACCAACAAGAGGTGCGCAGAATAGACAGGCACAGTTGGGAGCACAGTACTTGAAGTATTCCAAAACACAGGTAGGCATGTGGTAATCTAACCTGCATTTCATAAAGCAGCAGCAGCAAGACCTCAATTAGAATACTACATGCAGCTACTTACAAACAATCAACCCAAAACTTCACCAGGTGAAGACAAGGAGACCTAGAAACGCCAGTGAGTAGGGGAGCAATTGGATGAGATGTGAAAAACAGGACCTTTCAGAAATGAAAAGCAACTGCCGTTGCTGCCCATAACCAGACTGGCAGCAGGCACACTACATGCTAAAGAGAGAAGAGCTCTCTGGAGCTCTGGAGGAGATGACCACAGAAAAGAGGTACAAAATCAAACCGGAATGACCTGATAAAAGTAGGCTGAAAATTGTAATAAAGTTTCTAAGAGCAAAAGGGTTCCAGAACAAGCTTCAAACTGTCTGCAACAGCATGGGATTGGCTTCTGCTACCACTGAGTTACTTCTAATTTTGCCGTGTCTATTTTTTTTTTTTTAATTTAATTTTTTTTTTTTTGGTGCACATATGAACACACTGCCTCCAAGCAAGATACCATCTCCAGCATCATGTCCTTCATCATGATGGAAACAAAACTACAAAACTGCATTCAAAAGAATCAAATCCAGCCAGAAAGTAACTATGGAGTTACGACCCATTGTGATTTCAGAGCTTCTTTACTGGAATAAGCATCTCCAATGTCCAACAAACAGAAAAAGCTGCATCATGCTCTTGTGAACGTAATGAGGGGAACTGACAAGCAAACTACTCCTCACCATATATTTTTCTCACCCACTACCAGGACACCATATTTTTACATATCCATAGGACATACCTTCCCCCTTCCAAAAATGCCATGAGGGAATGAATTCTCTGAACTTCTCACTTCTAAAATACCCACTTGAAAGTAGTGTATAGAATGCTGCCATGTCTCAAAAGTCTCTGGAATTTCTTACAGCTATGTTTCATAGCCAAAATCTACAGATGAAGACTCAGAAAACAAGACTCAGCATGCAGATGGGGAATATTTGCTACCTCACCAAATGTTAGTGACAGCACACTGCTTTTTCTAGCCCAACCAGGCCTTTGTTTGCACTGAATTAGGTCCTCCTTCTTCGGTCAGTGTGGGACTAGATGGAGGAGTAAGGTCGATGTTTAACTTCTTGCAATCCTTACCTGAGCCTGCAGCACAGCCAAAGTGACATGATACGTGTCCACAGAAACAGCAACTGGTGATTGCTGAGCAACAGAGACAGGGAATTTCACAGCTTCAGCTGACAGATGGCAGCACAGCACCTAAAAAGAAAAGGAGATGAGTTTATATCCTGGCATGAGGCAGCTGTGTTATTCTCACCAAGTTCCACTCTGCAAACCTGCCACTTCAGACCCTGTGCTGTGACAAGAGCTCTTTTCTGCTCTCCACAGTAGAACCCTGATATTTGGGTTCAGCCTTCATACACCCCAGCTCCACCAACACATCCTCCCTCACAGACCTCACCAGTGCACAGTTCCAGAGCCTCCAAACAGCAGACAGGCCTCCAAACTCCTCCGAAGAGACCTCACCCAAAGCCTCCCTGGTTCCACCATCTCCATCAGAAAGGCCTCAGCGTCTCTGTAGAACACACCATCGCACCAAACTGTACAGTTCAGAACAGCAAAGCCTTACCATGCTGTGGTCCGACTGTCCCTTGCATGTCACACAACTTATATTTGCAGCTTGTGGTAACTGAGGACCCTCTTCAAATGTGATCTGCACTGAACTCTGCAAAGAAGAAACTCTGTTAGTTCCCAGTAGTTAGAGCCACCCCGTTAATTCCAAGGAGGATGAATGATGTGGGATTCCAGAAACACTCCAGACTGTTTTCACAAATCCAGTCAGCACTAAGAACTATCGCACACTTTCATTCTACCCACCTCAGCCTGTTTATACAGAGAAACAAGGTGTCCAGTTAAAGCTTGAATTCACGGATATAAGCACCTCCAGAAAAGTCCAAATCTCATCCAGAATCTCACATACGACAACGTCCTCCAGAAAACTCCCAGACCCCGCTTCAGAGAACAGCTTTTAGACCCAGCAACTCACTGAGGCAATGCCGTTTTCTGAGCAGACATGCTTCCAAACAAGGAGCAGCTGCAGCAGAAACTGAAGTGTGGCCTTCCAGGGGCCTCCATGCCAATTCAGCCACTGGCTAACCTTCCCTTTACAGGAGTCCTAACTTCTGGAATTCAGGGGTTATTTTGTGATAGTCTTAGTAATTCAAGATGGCATACCACATATGGAAACTGGTGACACCTTGACATGATGACTATTGCATTGTGATAAGAGAGGCAAGGAAGCTGAGGGCGAGTTTCTACAGGGGAAGTGGGGGAGCACTAAGTCCAGTGGGGGAAGGCACTTCACACTGAATCCAGCCTAGAATTTGTCACTTTGTCAAAAACTGAGATACTTTTCCTGTCTTGCTGGAAAACTCAAACTCAAGTCTGCATCATGTTCTTCAAGACTTTAACTGCTTTTTCTTCAAATATGTCAGCTTCCTGCTAATCTTTTCTGGCTCTTGATTTCCCTATACAACTTAACAGAAAGGACACCCCACTCACACGACAGAAAAAAAGAAGATTGCAATAGACCATAGACTTTGGACTGCTTTGGACCACAGTTTCTGTGGGCATTAAGTCCCTGCCTTGCAGGCAACACAAACTATAATGCAATTATTTCCATATGGAATTATCAAGTCATACTCTCCTTTGTGAACTTCAAAGCTACAGATGGTAATACTGGGAGATTAAAGAAAACAAATACCAGAAAATTTCGGAGAGATTGCTGTGGAAACATCAGAGTGACTTCACTATCGCCTCAACCCGCGTTAAACGACGCACGGTTACCCACGGCGCCCTTTCCGCGCTCGCACACCGCAGCATGCTCCCCCGCAGGCCGAGCGGAGCCGTCCGCAAGGCGCCGAACCGCTCCTCCGGCCGGAGCGCCATGCGGAGAAGGGCCGCCAACAAAGAGCAGGCGGGTCGCCCGCCTCCCCTCGCCGCCGCTCCCCGCGCCCCCCGGCTCGTGCCCTGCCGTACCCCGTGCCGGCGCGCCTGGCTGTTGAGAGCTCGCACCCAAGCTCGCTGCCACTGCTCCCGTAGGGACCTGAGGGCGAGAAGGGCCGCCAGCAGCGCCCGGGCCCCGGCCTCCTCCCCCGCCGCTCCCCGGCGCCGTAGCGCTCGCAGGGCCGTGGACCGCCAATACTGCAGCAGCCAGGCCGCCACGGTGAGCAGCGAGGCGGCGAAGAGCAGCACTAGCGCGGCCCAGCCCAGGTCCGGCCCCATGACACAGAGCGCGGCGCTCACGGCGGCGCGGCGGGCATGGCGGGCGAGCCGCGGCGCTGCCCCGCGCGCGGCACCGGGCGCACGTGGCCCCGCCGCAGCCCCGCACGCGCACCCGCCGCCGCCGCTTCCCTTCCGGCGCGGCGCTGCCCCCGCCCGCCGCTCCGCCCCGCGCCTGCGGGCGGGCTGTGGCACCCGCTCTGAACCGCCAGGAAACCTCCGGCTGCTGACGCGAGCCTTGTCTTCTGGGGGACTGAGGTCGCAGCACAGCAGCGATCCGAAAGCTCAGGTCCCCACCGGCTTTCCGAGCTTCGATTAACGACGCTTTTGTCCTTCACGTCTCGTTCTTTTCTGCTGAGAGTCACTACTTCGTTCCCACCAGGCACGCAGGACACAGCAGCACGGCGGAACCTTTCCGTTCGTCTGCTCCCGATTGTGCCACTCTCATCGTGGAGGGCAAGTAACACGAGTTTTGATCATCTCCCGACAGTCACGACCCAAAGTAGCAGCGGCCTCTGGCCACACATGCTCCCCTGCGCCTCTGTACTGTGCTTTTCTCCCCGGCAGGACCAAGTGCCCGCCTCAAAGTTGATTTAAAGTTTACAAAATCACTTTTGCATATGTGCAACAGACACCAGAGCAAAAGTGGCCTCTCAACTCAGCAGCAGCTCCTTAGGTGGCCATAAAGCCAACGGAAAAATCAGATAAAGCCATCAGAAATCGTTTCAGGTTGCCATACAGGTGGCAGGGCACGCAAAAGTTCTTGTTGCTGCTATGGGACTTTCTGCTGCGTCTCCCCTTCTGCTCATCGACTCACATCTGAATGAACAGAACAGTGAATGGACATTGAGCCTATCCTGCCTTCCCCTCTCCACCCCCCAAAAATGCACCGAGGACCCAACAGCAGTTACAGATTCCCTGACAGCAAACAATTCCCAATAAGGTATTTTACTGAATTTTCCCGACATCTGAGGAAACACGTGGGGAAACGAAACCGACGGCCTCTCACTTTTCCGCTCTCGCGCATTCTGCACCCCGGTAACACGGCTCGCCGCCCCGGCGGTGACTGCGCGGGCCGGGGCCAGCCCGCAGGCGGCTCCCCAGCCCCGGGCAGAAGGGGGCTCCGGCCGGGAGCGGCGGCGCCGCCGCGCTCCCGGCACCCGCCCTCCGCAGGGGAGGGGGCTCACCCGCTCCCCGCATGGCAGGAAGTTACGTACCGTGAACCGGAAGGGGGGGGGTGTGTGCAAGGTGGCCATGGCTGTTGCGGGCATTGCGGGGCGGAGTCCGTGGCTGGGCCGTCCCCGGGTGAGTGCTGCTCCCGGCGCAGTTTCGGAGGAACCCCGCGGAGGAGGAGAAACACCGCGAACCTTAGCACCGGGGACAGGCTCCTCCACACGGCCTCAGCGCGGCTGAAACCGCTACCGATCCCGGCCGTCGTGCGAGCAGAGCCCCGTGCCGGCAGGAAGTTCATGCCAGGGCCAAAGATGGCGCCCCCGCCGCCGCCAGGCCGCGAGGGCCTCGCGCATCCAGCGCCGCCCGCGTAGCGCCCGACCGGGAAGGCGGAGGGCAGCGCCCCCGCGCGGCCTCGCTGCGCGCCCTTGGCAAGGGCAGCTCCCGCCGCGGCCATGGCGGCCTGGCCCGCCGTGCCGCTCCTTATCAACCTCGGCGGGTCGCTGCTGGGCTTCGCGGCCACGCTCACGCTGATCCCGGCCTTCAAGGACCACTTCCTCGCCGCGCGGCTCTTCGGCCACGACCTCAACAAGACCTCAAGGAGGCCCGTGTGAGTAGCGCTGCCCCGCGGAACTGCCCCGCGGGGCCGGCCCAGGCACGGCTGACTCCCCCCGCTCTACCTTCCAGCCCCGAAGCACAGGGCGTGATCAGCGGTGCCGTGTTCCTGATCATCCTCTTCTGCTTCATCCCCGTGCCCTTCCTGAGATGTTTTGTGGAGGAGCAGTGTGTGGCGTTTCCTCACGACGAGGTGAGGCTCGTCTAAATGCTGCAGTGTGGCAGGCAGGGGCAGGGAGTGGCCACCGGTGACCGGGGTCCTGTTCTCTGTCCTGCAGTTCGTGGAGCTCATCGGTTCGCTCCTTGCCATCTGCTGCATGGTTTTCCTAGGCTTTGCAGATGATGTTCTGGACCTGCGCTGGCGCCACAAGTTGCTTCTTCCTACCATGGCTTCCCTCCCACTGCTCATGGTTTACTTCACCAACTTTGGGAACACGACCATTGTGGTGCCTAAGCCCTTCCGGGTGCTGCTGGGCATGCACTTGAATCTGGGTAAGTTATGAATCACTAGAACCTGTCATCCACGTGGCAAACAGTCAGTGGAAGGGACCAGATGAAGCACTTCATGCTGCAGAGGACTAAGGATTTGCTTAAGTAACCAGTAAGAGAGTGGCACTCGACCCACTAAACATTTAGCTGGAAAGAACATCTGGAAACCCGGCACACGTTCAGCTGCACATAGACAGACACCGATCATTTTCTCACGATCCTGGCAATACAGGTGAGTACTGGGGCATACAGCACATGGCTGATAACACCAGGATGTTAGAAAGACAGAAACAGCAGTACAGCTGGCCACCACCAGCGTCACAGCAGTTTGCCACAGTTCATGTAGACATGACAGCCAGCTCAAAAGAGAGTAAGCAACCTTATCTGTAAGCTACCACTATCAAAACTCACTGAGATTGTTAGGTTGTTGTATAAAGCAAGAAGTGAGAGCTTCAGTGAATTGGTCTAGGGCCTGCTTTGCCTCCAAATACTGAAGCCTTTGGCTCCCTCTGATCTGCAGGTATCCTCTACTACGTGTACATGGGTATGCTAGCAGTGTTCTGCACTAATGCCATCAACATTCTTGCTGGAATTAATGGAATTGAAGCAGGACAGTCGCTGGTGATAGCTGCTTCCATTATCATATTCAATATTGTAGAGCTAAACGGTAAGGAAAATAAAAAACATTTGTGGGCACAAAAAGCAAAGGGAGATTGAATTCTAGATTTCAATAGCTGGTATTACTAAAAATGAACCAGTCTTGTCTTACCACAAACACATGTTTTTCTTTTTTCCATAGGGGATTATCGAGATGACCATATTTTTTCTCTCTACTTTATGATTCCCTTTTTTTTTACCACGCTGGGCCTATTTTACCACAACTGGTAAGAGGATAGACATTCAGAATTTGTTTGAAAGCATCCTTTCCCTCTAGTTTCTCCCTTTTTGAACCAACAAAACCACTTAACCACGTGTAGGTGTGGAACACTGGAGTATAGAGAGAGGGGCTTCTTGCCAAAACCAACACCACAAAGCATGGATGGAGTAGTAGCTTTTCTTTGTATTAAAACAATTACAGTCACACCAGCTCACCCAAACACGCATAATACACTCTTCTGTGCCTCACTGCCTGTCTTTTCATACAAAGTGCTCTGCAAGTCAAGTGGTGGGTCCCAGTCCTGCAATTCTTAGCATAAATACCTACAATTGTTTTTACTGTGTAGATCTGCTGCAGATCTCCATGGGCCCCTGACCTGCAATGTGGGCATACTTTCAGTAGTTATAAATGGTCATTTTTGTGGCAATAGCAGTCATGTCAGACCTTTGATTTTCTGCTCCATGGATTGCAGGTACCCATCTCGAGTGTTTGTTGGGGATACCTTCTGCTACTTTGCTGGCATGACCTTTGCTGTGGTGGGGATCTTGGGACACTTCAGCAAAACAATGCTGCTTTTTTTCATCCCGCAAGTACTCAATTTCCTCTACTCATTGCCTCAACTCTTCCACATCATTCCGTGTCCCCGTCACCGGTTACCGAGGTAATGTACCAAGTGACCTATAGTGGTACTACAGGTTGTGTCTTTTACCTCCAACACCGGCTGAGAAAGGTGGTGGAAGGTGCTCTTTTTAAAAGCCATCAAAGTATGTTTTCTCTTTAAAAGACAGCAGCACATTTCTGACCAGCCCACCCCTCAGATCATTTTTAACAAGGTTAGACCATGATGATTCTAAGCTACAAGATCAAGAGAAATTGACACTGGCTGCTTTTAATGCTGCGGCAATGGGATCTGCTAAGATTTCATAGTAGCAAGCATTCTGTAGCACTATGCCACATCAGCAGTTCTATCTGCAGATATTAGATTCTTCTGTTTTATTCTTTAAACTACAAAACATATATTGGAGGTGCAATGGGAAGGAGTCTTCTTTGCCCTACTTGAGGGGCTAGATACCAGCAGCTGTTTTTAAGTGCATTAAGGTTATTCCTGTTTTTTCCACCACTGGGTTTCTTTCTCAGCTATGGGTCTAAGTCTGCTTACAAAGTGATCTCTCATCTCCTTGTTGCATCTGGACTAAATTTTAAATGTTTCTTTTAGGCTTAATCCTAGTACAGGGAAGTTGGAGATGAGCTACTCCAAATTCAAAACTAAGAACCTCTCTGTCCTGGGAACAAACATTCTGAAGGTAATTTGTGGAAATTACAGATGCATTTTGAGGCAGTCATCAACTGCAAGAGAAACAGGGCGGGAGAAAATGCAGAACTTCTGGGTTCAGTAGTTACTGCCTGGTTCACATCTAGAAGAAAGTCTCTTACCATCTCTCATAGTCACTCAGTTTTGTTAAAAATCAGTCTTTCAGAATAACCACACATAGAAGTGCCCCAGGACCATCATATGTCTGTCCTGTCTTTTCAGTTAGAGCACAACCAAGATTTCAGGACTGGTGCAGCAAAAGGGCTCTTGAGCAAGACTAGCCAGTGAACACCAAAAATACCTGGTGAAATAGCATGCAATACTTCTTTCCTCAGGTAGTCAAGATCTTGCACATAGTGGATGTGAGGAGTGGAACAGATGAAGATGGCGAATACACCGAATGCAGTAATATGACACTTATTAATTTTGTCATAAAGCTGATCGGACCCACCCACGAGCGAAATCTCACTCTCCTGTTGCTACTCATTCAGGTCAGACAAAGGGTTCCTACAGTAGAAAGATCTACTCTGCAGTAGAAACAGATCCAAGTCAGTCTCAAGAGTTTTAAGGGGAAAGTAAAATACTGTGCTCTTCACACAAGGTGCAGTTGAGCTGTGGAGCTTGAGGGGAGAATGAGAGGCTTACATACCTCAAGGAGAAAAGAAATCCACACACAGCTCCCTGTTCACTGAGAGCTTATAAAAAAAAGTCAGGAGGTTAGCTTAAGAAGATTCCCAAAGCACGAGTAATTGATTCCAAGGAAAACATGAGCACAGCAGAGTGCCTTGTCACTCTTGCTCAAGACAGCCTTTTGGTATGTCCTGTTTTTCAGTAATACCAAGTAACAGTCTCAGAGTTGTCACCAGCAAGTGGGCTTCTGTAAGCATGGCACACGGCTCAGCAGTTTCTCAGTCTGAGGGGCATGTGGGAGCATTTGGAAGCCACTTGGAGCATAAGGATATGCTTCACAGATCTTGCCACTGCCTCTATTCAGCATGTGAATTTTTGAGCATAGTGTAGTAAAAACATCACTTTTTGGAAAGGCCTGCATTGATTAACTGCCCGCAATAAAATCCTTCTTTTCATCTTCCATTTATCTTCCTATACCTAAAAGAAGTAGCCTTTTAGTTGCTCTTTTATGAAACAAGGCATACTGGAAAGTTTAGCAAATCCATTTGGAAAAGAGGAATCTGACAGCCTGTAAACCATTTGACAGTATAATGTTTCTGTTATGTGTCTGATTTTTACCTAGGTCCTTGGCAGCACGATTGCATTTTCAATCCGGTACCAACTAGTGCGCTTGTTTTATGATGTCTGACTGGACTGTCGGGAGCAAGGGAAAGAGTTCTACCTGCCATCTCCTCCAGTTGCTTGACCAAATGATTCAACTGATGTTGCTCCTGCCTTCTGGGATCCTCAGAATACCTGTCAAAATGCAAGCAACTGCTTTGCATGGGCTAGTTTTGAACCAGGATGTTCTTTGTGCACCAAAGGCTTTTGTCCAATTCTGTGGTAGAAAAGATTCACTGCTACTTGGACATCGGTGTTATTAAGAATACATTTTAGAGGGGAAGCAAATGACAGCACTTAGGGAAAGTGGGAAAGATGGAATCTCTATACATCTAGCAAAGTCATTACTGTTCACCAAGAGAGAAAACAGCAACTTTAATTTCTGTGAGGAAAATAAGGAAACCAGACTCCGTTCCTGGCTTCTCAATCCTGTTTTTGGTCCATGGACATAGAATGACATGTTATAACCCATACTCAAAGCTCAGAGTGCTCCAAGAATAAAATAATTCATGGTACCCTTTCCCCTGCAGTGCTTTGCCTCGACAATATTGACAGGCAGTGAAACTAGGTTATATCCATCTGTAGCTTTCTACCCTCTTAGGCAGTTGATCATTTCTGCAGTGGACTCCCTATTTTTTATGGCTACTGGAAATGTTCCTGCTGATGAGGTTTTAATTCTGAATACCTTTATAGTCTGCCTTCCTCCCTGGAAGAGGACATGCTAGCAGAGTGAGGATCACCACATCCTTGTGTTAAGAGGGAATCAATAGATCCTTTATTAATGTAGAACTAAGGCCCTGATTGGCTAACTGCCAATCCCTTTTCCTCGATTACAAATAGCTACTTATAGAGCAGTATTTAGCACCAGTTGAACACAGAATTGCTACAGAAAAAACATAGAACAGCCATTGGGGTACCAGATTATAGTCTTTGCACCTCCCAACACCCAAGTTCGGCTAGTAACAAGGCTTGGAATGCAGTACCAGAAGGCAAAAATGCCTGTGTCCAGCAGCACTGATCAACACAGAAAACACACAGCACTCAAGTATGAATGGTACAAGTGGCTGAAGCCTCTTCCTTCCCTCCAGCAGATCAGTTTGTAAGTCTACTAGTACAGTGTATTCATCACCACATCCACATAGACATCATGAAATTGAAATGAACAGGGTCCATGCCTTTTTTAGTGTTCAGCTCTATTAAAAAGTCAGCTCGGCAGGGGGGTGGTGTAGCTTCTTCCGGTAGCCGAAGGGTGAGAAGGCTGCAGAGTCTGTCCCTGGAGTGGCACGCTGGTAGCCGGAGGTGCAGAGGTGTCCAGTCTGTATCTGAAGTCCCAGCAGACCATCCTCTCTCCTTTCCTCCGAAGGCTGGGGGGATGTGCAGAGCCTGCTGCTAAGGTCCAGCAGCAGCTATCCCCCTCCTGCCCTCCTGGTAACACCAGGTAAAGTGTCTGATTCCTTGTGCCTGCTTCCCACAGCCCAGTCCAATCTGGTCCTCTGCAGGTTATAGTGACAGGTTAAACACAGACTAGGGATGGGGTTCCCTTTTCCCCAACCAGCACACCCATCCAGCCCCCTCCACTGTGCCCCTCTTTTACATTTAGGGGTGTTTTTCATCCCCAAAACCCCCTCCCATGATTCCACTGGATTCTTCTGCATCCCAGTCCTAGTTTGGGTGGGGGTGTAGGTGATTCCCAGGAGCAATTGGGTAATTAACATTTCAGTGTCAGTACTTAGTTCGAGCCAAGTGTCCCAGCCAGGCTGTTTTGTTCATAACAAAATCATTCAGTTCCTGGCCTTAAACAGTCTGTCCAGTAACCAGCTGCTAGATTTCCTGGTATCAAGGCATATGAACAGAGAAATCTCTCTGCTAGCTGACCTAGGAATGTGGCCTTCCAATAGGTACTTCTAGGACAGCCACTCCATTTTCCTCAGAAAGCTGGCTTACCTCCAGTAAGCATCCTGCTGCTCCCGTATCTGGTCCTGGGCTCCAAAGCCCATTATCCTACTTGCTGTCTAGGTCTTGCTCCTTCGCTAGGGATGACTCACACTTGCATTCCACCTAGCCCTGGGCCCTTCCTGCATGTGCTGAAGTCTTCCCATTTTCTGGAACGACACTGGCTGCTCTGATTTGTGTCCTAATCCTAGTTGCTGGCAACTGGACCTCCAGAGGCACACAGCATAGACAGTCTGCTCACTCTGGGGGAAAAAACATACAAGTTGGGTTAATTAAGACAGCACAGACTGCAGAGATAATTCTTACTGATCAGCAACATTTTAAAACATTACCACTTTCTTCACTTTTATTTTTCCTTCAATGTTCCCATGGGTTTTTTTCTCCTAGTCCACTTTGACTCCTCACTCTCCTTTGGTGCTTCTCTTAATATACCTGTATTATAAACCCATGATGTATCTCACACATTGACAAAAGGATCTCATGGTAGGTTTTTTCATATCCCTAACTGTTCTTCCCCCCATGTGCCACCCTAAGGTAAATGCCCAACAGACAGGGATACCTTTCAGTCTGTAGGCATCCCGGGAGCCCCTCTACCTCGCCCTGGGTGGAAGCCAGGCGCAGGGACTGTCCCCAGCCCTCATAAAGCACGGTGCGCCCTGAGGGCGGCACGAGAGGCGCGGAGGGACCGGCGGCAGCGCGCATGCTCGCTGAGGGCCGGCGGCAGAGCTCCAGCGATCGCTCGGCGTGGTTTAAATTTGGCGCCTCGCTTGCTGATTGGCCGGACCACGCGGCCAACACATTCAGAGCAAGCGCGTTGCTATCACAGAAGCGACCAGTCAGCAAAAAGCTTCTTCCGGCAAACGCACCAATAGCTAGGGGCGGCGGCGCTGTCCAATGAGCTGGCCCCTACTTGGCGGGAGGTTATAAAAATCCCGGCCGCGGCCTCCCGGGCGCATCGGTTCAGCAGCGCGGCGAGCGCCATGTCCGGCCGTGGCAAGAGCGGCGGCAAGGGCCGCGCTAAGGCCAAGTCTCGCTCGTCCCGGGCCGGGCTGCAGTTCCCGGTAGGGCGCGTCCACCGACTGCTGCGGCGCGGGCACTACGCAGAGCGGGTGGGGGCGGGTGCGCCCGTGTACCTGGCGGCCGTGCTCGAGTACCTGACCGCCGAGATCCTGGAGCTGGCGGGCAACGCGGCTCGCGACAACAAGAAGACGCGCATCATCCCCCGTCACCTGCAGCTGGCGGTGCGCAACGACGAGGAGCTCAACAAGCTGTTAGGCGGCGTTACCATCGCGCAGGGTGGCGTCCTGCCCAACATCCAGGCTGTGCTGCTGCCCAAGAAGACCAGCAAGAAGGGCAGCCGGCAGCAGTCGCAAGAGTACTAGGCCGGCCGGCCCTCCCGGCACAATTCAAAGGCCCTTTTCAGGGCCACCTCATTGCTCACTGGGAGAGCTGCGATCCGCGGAGGAGGCGGGAGGAGGGCAGGGCGCGAGAGGCGTGGCCGGCCGCGGGGAGCTGGGCAGGGGGGAGCGGGCAGTAACCGGCCCGGGGTCAGTCAAGACACTGAGCCTGAGAGCTGCTCAGTAAGGAGCCGTTATTTTCATTCCTACCTACCTCTGGGACATGCAGTGGACGTTGTCTGGAAAATAAAACTTTATTTACAAAACAGGACCCCCGGTGCTGTTACAGTATTTCTTCAAGGCATTGTAACAATAAAATCCTGCTCAGAGGATGCTGACCTAGTAGCAAGAGCAGGAAGCCAGTGTCTGGAATCTGGGCTTCTGCTTCAGCTCCCCCTTCATAGGCAAGTCTAGCTAATTGGCTCTCGTGACCTTTGTGGATAAACATACAAGGGAAGCCAATCTAGCTAGTCTAATATATATGTGTATGTATGTATTGTATCAATCTAATACCACCCAATTGGCTAGTATAATGGTGAACGTAATTAGCCTTTGCCAAGACCAAGGGTGAATGTAGCATCTCTGCTCCTTTACTATAAGGAACATGCTATCAGGAATCTAATGGGAACCTTTGGTGATCCAGTGAGTGAAAAGGCCCAGATAATGACTCCCGAAAACACTCAGCACAGTACGGCATTTTAGTACCAGCGCAGTTGTGTATCCGATTATAACCCAACAGGCACTCTGCTCCTAAATGGAATTGAACACTTAAAGGCTTTTATTTTATTTTTAATTTTTTTCTTTCAGTTCTCTAGCTACAAAAGTTGTTGACAATACTTCATAAAGACGCTTAACAATTTAGAGAAATGTGGAGAGGGATAAAAACTCTGAAGAGCAGAAACTACTTAAGTTAGTTAGCTTCATATTTCAAGTTTTTTGCACCCAAATGTCAGGCAAGACTGGTGTGAATGTTGAAATAAATCCCTCCAGAGGATCATGATGCAGCTGCACAGACTTGTAGCTAGAATTGTAGCACTCCTGCTGGCCACACCCCAAGTTCAGCGGGCATCATTGAGCTGCCTTGCCACGCTAAGGATATGCTTTGCTCCCTTGCTCAGAAGTAAACTAGCTAGTTCAACACCCAGGTTCTCTGCAGCTTCCTGGGCCTGACCAGGAACATTCTTGGCTGTGATGCCAACATGCTGCACATCATCATTTGGTCCATCTTCATTCTGCAAATACGAACACCTCAAAGTAAGGCAGCAGGAAAACAGTAGGCAAGGAATTAAGATGCTCATGAAAAACCTAGTCTGAAGAACCTCAAGAACAGTGTGCTGTTACAGCTGACAAGAAAACAGACCAAATATAATCCATTTCTAAAGGCCAGGTTTTTGTCATTTAGCTTCAGGTTTGAATTTCGAAGGCACCGTAATTCCCGTACCTGATGGGGATAACTAACACCGGTCTGCATGGTCTCCTTCAGGCTATCAGATCCATCCAAGCTGTAGACTGCTCCTGTCAAATACAACTTAGAAAATACACAGAATGGATTATTACCACATTAACAAACAAGCAGCCAACTACCCCCTCTTTAAAAAAAACACCCAATATACAAAGCTAAGTCTGTTGGGAAGGGCTTTTGTCATGCAGTGGGATCAGCATGAATAGTGGTATAATACAAGAAAAGTATTTCCTGTTAGGGAAGATACGAAGATATGACTTCTCAAGGAAAATGCCAAAGTTCTTTTCTAATTTCCCACCTCCTTATCCACATTCCACTGTCTAAAAACAAGTTTGGTAGGGTCAAAAGCAATACTTTCAGACCTCAGGACAGCATGAAATAAGCAGCAGGGGTGGAGAGGGGAATCTGGTATAATATTTAAGGGAATTTTCTGAAAGACAGCTTCAGTAGCTTGACCCATTCTTGCACTCCTGCTTTGGACACAAACACAGAAGGGTCAAGTCAGGAGACTATCTGCCCTACCTGGTTATAAAGATACCTGCTGAAATTAGCTTCAGGAAAAGATATGGAAACATGCACACACTTGGAAAAGGTTTTCAGAAATAATCCATGAAAAATACAAAGTACTCCTCACCTGGCCATCCTTCAGCAGGGTGTTGACAGCAACAGGGACGCTACATCCACCCTCCTAAAACACAAAGCAGCTGACACTGAAGTTCCTACTCAACACATTGAAAGCAGAGGCCTCCGAAAAGTTTAGGCAGCACACAACACTGCCCATCACTCTTCTGGCCCTTTTTGATTCAGATGTACTCTCCTTTGCAGTTTCAGAGAAGTGTTACAGATTTTCCATATTATGGCATCAAGTCAACTAGCAGATCAGTATTTACTGCTGCAGGCAGAGGAAGGGTGCCAGACCTACCAAACGCTTCATAAAGGCTCTTTCAGCAATGCAGCACAACACAGTGTCAGCATCATGCAGGGCAGATACCATATTCAGTATCTCTTGGTCTTTGGCACGAACTTCCACGGCTAAGGCACCCTAGAAGAAAAAACACACAACAAAATATAGTTCTTCAACTTCATGCATCAGCATTGATCACAGAACAGAACTCAGAGGCTCAGACCCTTTTCACTAAGGGAGCAATGTTCACAGAAATGAATTGTGATACACTCCGCTGCCTGTAGGGTTGTCCTACAGTAGCTGCTGTAAACAGAAGATCAGGACTTACTCAGGCAAGTGTTAAAGATCATGCTGCCACCTCAACGATTCTAGAACTCTGCAGGTATTTGACAAATGCATGATCAAAATTACTTTTTTCAGACTGAATGTGCAGATTTGTCACTTGTGATCACTAACTGGTGATCAGGTTTATCAAGTTTGATATTAGTTGCATAAGCTCAGCCATGCAGGCAGAATGGACTGGAACAGTCTGTCCACCTAAAAACAGGAGCAGTAAGAATGTGCTCCAAGGCAGGTGTTCCAGCTCCATCTTGCAGGAGTCAGGACACCATGCACAAAGGAGGGAGCATCACAGACCAAAGACACTGCAGTGGTTTAGCACAGTTATCCTGGTGCAGCGTAATACTGACCCTGCCAGAACCTGCCCCATATCTTATATGTTATATCTATATCTATGTTATATCTATACATGTTGCCCCAGTGTAGATGTGCGTGGCTTTACCTTCCCATTTACTGTTTTTTCTTTTACTGATAGGAACCAGCCCCTAACACCTGGGTAGAAGAGCAGATTCCTAACAAGTTGTGCCTCAAAGAGTGTAACAGCCAACAAAAGAGATCAAAGTACTTTTCTGATAACGAAGACATGAGAAGTCTTCAGCACAGTTAACTACTCAGATATATCATACTTTCACTGAAAGCTGGTTTTCAGTGCCCTTTAAGGAACAAAAGTTGTAAAGTACCTGTCCGACAGCATACAGACAATCTTCAGGGCTTAGGAGCTGGAAGAAAGTAAAATCAAGAGTTAACTCAAGTTGCACTGTTCACAATGTAGAAAATAAGAGCCAGATTCCTGTCTCCAATACTAAGTGATTTCATGTCAGACCAAAGACACTTCTCCCTTCTCATGCCTCAGTGTTTCCACCACAAAAGTGAGATAATGTCCATTCCATCAACTGGAGTGTAACACTTTGTGACTTAGCTAATCACTAAAATCTCAGCCTTACACACTGCTGCATTGCTAGACACGAGTGCCATGAAGTGCTACAAGACAATCAGATTACAAACTGTTACTGAACCATGGAAAACTGAACATGAAAATTTTCTGTACGAAGGAAAAAAAACAACCAACCAAAAAACCCAACCACTCCTTCCAGAAGTGCCTCAAATCAAATCATGGCAATGGAGTCAGGTGCTTGCATGCTTATCTTGGATAGGAGAACCACAAGGTATGAAAAGCAAACAGTTGGTATTTCAGCAGAGAATGTTATTTTCTGCTTTGCTGCGCCTCACCTGGCCAATGCGATTTTCCCAGCCCATTCTCTTCAGCCCAGCAGCAGCCAAGATGATGGCACTGAAGTCTTCCTTCTCATCTAGCTTCTTTAAACGGGTATTTAAGTTTCCTCTCTGTAGAAGTGATTAAGCAAGCATAGAAACGGCAGGAAAACAGTTCTACAACCAGTTGAGTCTTTACAGACTGTACAGAATACAACAGTCTCCAAATGAGAATGTCAGTACCATCCTGAAAGAAGTGTTAAATAAGCACAATCGTTTCATAAAATAGAATCTTGCCATGTATTATGGAATATTAATTCAAGTGCTGAGTCTACAAAGATATGCACACCACTGAAGTACACTATTATCACTCAATTCCTTCTGCACTGCAAAGAACTCTTCTCCTAGGACGGAAGTAACAATGCCTTTTCTCAGTAGGTCAGCCACCCACAATGGAATTAATGGTCCAAACAGCATCCAGGGTTACTGGAAACCCAGCAACATTTGGTCACGCACCCGTGACAAACACATCGGAGGCACCGTCATGCAGTTTTTCAAACACTGCAAAACATACAATTAATCTGTATGCTGAACACCCAGCTAGATCAAGGCTGGCTGCTTCTTCACAGCCTCATGAGAAAGCAGAGGACAGGATGGTTACAGTACTACCCCATCCCACCTCAGAACAGGGTAGTGGAGAACAGCCTTTGAAGAAGCAGCTTGTTCTTGTAGGTCAGGTGGCACAAATGAGCCTCAAATCTAGATTTTACACAAAGTTGTACTTTCCTCTTTGCAGCTTTACCCAGCTCCCACACTTGCCAGGAAAGGATACAATATCCCTGAATTCTAAATGAGGGAACTTCTTCTTGAGCTGAGCTGCTCTCCGAAGTGAACTGGTTCCAATCACACTGCAAGGAAAAGTATAATCACTGAAATCCAGAACACTCCTAACAGTTACCTCCAGCCACATATATGACAGAAATTTCAAGGAAACAAATAGTATTTTTTTTTTTAGTTGAAATGAAGATCAGAAAAACAGTCAATTATTTATATCTCCTTAGAAGAAAGAAAACCACTCTGTGAAGTTCAGCATAAAGCATGTCCGAAGCAACTCCCAAGGAGCCAATTTACAGAATATGCTTCTGATGAGCAGTCCCCAGCCACTGTCAAGGATGTATGAAACCTCATTGAAAGACAACATTTTTCACAGAAAAAAGACACCACTGCCCCAAAATGAGCCAGACAACTAAGTGATGAAGTGACTAAAACAGAGGAACTTCATCAAAGACACAAATGCAGAGTAAGCAGAGGACCTTTGAGTATATAACTAGAAACCACAGAAAACTGAAAGTCT